TGGTGGAGCCCCGCATCAGGCAGACATGCTTACAGAGCTCCAACAAGACCCCAACGGCGGTATAGGCAGAAGAGATGACCACCATGGAAACCCAACGACTACACCGGCAGACGAAGGCAATGCCTGATAGACAGGCTACTACGGCGAAACCCAACAATCTGGGATATCGGCAGTCCATTGCAACTCTCCCTCTCCCCAGTCGTTGCAACACTTGCACCACTGAATCAGGAAAAGGGAGAGCCAAGATGTGTGGTTGCAGCCTTACCTCCTCCCTCACCACATAAATCAACTCACGCACAACCATCACCCAGCTCATCATGCCTCTCATCATCATCAAAACCCCTATACCCCCGAAAATCCTATGGCGAGTGGCGACAGGGACAGGCAGAGATGACAGCTGGGAGTCTCTAGTCACAACTCTGCACATGGGTGGCACTGATAAGATGGTCGTTTATGCATTGGGATCTAGGCAGTAGTGCAATCCGGCCCTGTCTGTGTGACTGAGCCGCCCTTTCGAGGAGCCACTCTGCTCACCCCACACGGGGAGGGGGCTAGAAAAGGTGCCCTAAACATAGCCTGCCTAAAAACCCAACCTGACTGGGCAACCTCACCTAGTAAGGTCATCCTAATGCAGTCGAAAACACAATCAAAATCACAAATCTAAACAAAAACAAACCATACAACCTATTATGGTCGCTGCATGGAATGTCTGGACCCTACTGGATATTGGCACAAATGAGCGTCCTGAAAGAAGAACTGCCCTTGTAGCAAAAGAGCTGGCTAAGTATAACATCGACATAGCAGCCATCAGTGAGTCCCGGCTCCCAGATGAGGGCCAACTCACAGAACGGGGGTCTGGCTGTACCTTCTTCTGGAAGGATAAGTCTGCTGCTGAGAGAAACTGCATTTATGGAGTTGGCTTTGCCATCCGCCAACGCATCCTCACAGGCTAACTGAAATGCCTATTTGGGATTAACGACCGCCTCATGACGCTTCGAGTTCGACTGAATCACTCACGTCATGCCTTTTTCATTAGTGCATATGCCCCAACACTGGATGCAGAGGATGACATAAAGGAAGCCTTTTACGCCGACCTCGACTGAGTGCTAACCTCTATCCCCAGAGAAGACAAGGCTGTGCTCCTTGGCGACTTCAATGCTAGAGTTGGCAGAGATGCTGATATTTGGCAGGGAACCATAGGGAGAAATGAACTAGGGAAGTGTAATCCCAACTGCCTACTCCTCCTCAGCAAGTGTGCTGCGCACAACCTCACTATCACCAATACCTTGTTTCGGCAGGCCGACAAGTTCAAGGGGTCGTGGCAACACCCACGATCCTAACACTGGCATCTCATTGACTACATCATTGTCAGAGAAAGAGATCACAGAGATATCCTCATCTCCTGTGCCATATGTGGTTCAGACCACTGTGACACTGATCATCGACTTGTTGGAACCAAGCTCTCTCTTCACGTCGCCCCAAAACGGCGAAGGCAACAAGCCTCCAGAAGAGGTTTTAATACAAAGCGTCTGGAGAATCCAGTGGTAGCATATGCTTTCAGAGAGTAGCTCAAACATGGGCTTATAAATAACCAAAGAGCAAACAACGCGAATCTCAGTGCCGAATGGGATACTCTCGACACTGCTATGACAATAACCTGCAGAGAGACCCTCGGCCAGTTCAAAAGAACACACCAGGACTGGATGAAAATGACCCGGCAATCAAAGTACTCATCGATGATAATCATGCTGCTTTTACTGACTGGCAAAACAACCCTCAGTCTCCAACCAAAGCTGATACCTTCCGCAAGAAGAAAGCGGCTGCCCAGCGGGAACTTCGCAATCTAAAGAATGACTGGCTTTAAAATAAAGCATGTGAAATACAAAAAAAATGCAGATTAGCTCAAGATGCATGAATTTTTTCAATTCCATTAAAACATTTTACTGGCCAATCACTCGTGGTGCAGCCCCCCTCTGCTCACCTGTTGGTAACTCCATAATTAAAGACGATGAAGGCCTCCTTCAGCGCTGGAAAGAGAACTACCATTCATTGCTCAACCGAAACACCAATGTGGATGTCCTGACTACCCAGCAAGTCCCTCAGCATCCAAAGCTGACCCACCTCAGCTATCCTCCATCCCTGGATGAGGTAACTACTGCCATCAAACAGATGAAAAATAACATAGCCTCAGGGCCTGATGGAATCCCAGCCGAGGTGTATAAAGCAGGAGGACCTCTGCTTACAAGCCGTCTCCACTCTCTCCTGGAGAATGTATGGGAAAAGGAGGAAATCCCCCAAGCTCTAAAAGACGCCACCATTGTCAATATTTATAAGAATAAGGGAGACCAGTCAGACTGTGGCAACTACCATGGGATCTCGCTGCTCTCAGTAGCTGACAAGATTATCGCCTGAGTCCTCCTGAACAGACTTCTTCCTGAGGCGGAAATCTTCCTCATAGAATCTTAATGTTTTTTTAAACCATCACGTGGCACCACTGACATGATCTTTGCTGCCCGCCAGATACAGGAAAAGTGCAGAGAACAGCGACGTGACCTGTACATGGCTCATTGATCTAACCAAAGCCTTCGACTCGGCCAACAGGGAAGCTCACTGGTGGACCCTCAGCCGTTTTGGCAGCCCACCAAAATTCATCGCCATTGTGAGGCAACTCCACGATCGTATGAACGGCAGTGTCCTACACAACGGCACCCATTCGACCGCTTCCCCATCTAAACAGGGGTTAAACAAGGGTGTGTACTTTTACGAACTCTCTTTTCCATTTTCTTGGCTGCCTTCCTTACTCGTGCGAGTGCCAATTTAGCCGGCCGGTTGAACATCGAGTACTGGATGAAGTGGGGTCTTTTCAACATAAGACGACTCCAGGCAAGAACTAAGGTGTCGGCAGCTTCCATTACAGAACTTCAGTATACAGACGACCTCACCCTCTTTGCTCACATTGAACACGACCTACAGGAGATCCTGAACACCTATGCAGATGCATATGCATACTTTGGCCTTGAAGTGAATGTACGTAAGACTCAGATTCTCTTTCAACCTGCCCCTGGTTCAGACAAATCTCCACCATCCATCCAGCTTAACGGTACTACCCTCTCTAACGTTACCCACTTTCGGTATCTCGGGTCCCACCTGTCCACCACTGCAGACATTAATGAAGAGATTCAGCATTGGATCAGATGTGCATCTCAAGCCTTTGGCAGGCTCCAAAACTGGGTCTTCAGCTGTAGGGAGCTGAAATTATCGACAAAGCTGCACATATATCGAGCAGTGGTCCTCCCCACCCTGCTATACGACAGTGAGACATGGGTCACATACAGGAGGCACCTCAAGGCACTTGAAAACTTTCACCAACGTAGTCTATGTTCCATCATCCGAATTTGTTGGGAAGACAAGAGAACAAATGCCAGTATTCTTGGTGACACCAACTGGAGGAGCATCGCGGTTACCATTATCAACTACCCTGGACTGGCCATGTTACCCGCATGGACGACGTTGGACTGCCAAAGCTGCTATTTTACAGTCACCTAACAAATAGTAAACGTAACACCGGCGGGCAATTGGAAAGGTATAAGGATAGTCTTAAGACAAACCTGAAAAAGTGCCAAATCGACCCCCCTCACCTGGGAGTCGATTACTCCACATCGTAACGCTTGGAGGAGCACCACACGAGAGGGTGTCAATACTTTCGAGTTAACCCGACTGCAAACCGAGGCAGACAAGCGCCAACGCCGGAAAGACGCTTCCACCGCTCCTCCCGCACTAGATGCAGTCTTCCACAGGTGCAACGAATGTGGACAACCCAGCGGGTCCCGTATCGGCCTCTTTTGTCAACTCAAAACTCACCAAACAAACTTAATAACATATTATCATAGCTGGATGATCGTCATACTCGAATTCGAGTGTCAACAAAGTAGTAGTAGGTGTATTGTTATGTTGCAGGGTATAAGAGAAATGTTTTGTTGTGTTGCAGGGTGTACGTGGAACGTGTTGCAGTGTGTAGTGGTAATGTTATGTTGTGTTGCAGGAGTAATGTTATGTTGTGTTGCAGGAGTAATGTTATGTTGTGTTGCAGGATGTAGGAGTAACGTGTATTGCAGTGTGTAGGAGTAATGTTATGTTGTGTTGCAGGGTGTAGGAGTAATGTTATGTTGTGTTGCAGGGTGTATGAGTAATGTTATGTTGTGTTTTAGGGTGTAGGATCATTGTTATGTTGTGTTGCAGGGTGTAGGAGTAATGCTATGTTGTGTTACAGGGTGTAGGAGTAGTGTTATGTTGTGTTGCAGGAGTAATGTTATGTTGTGTAGCAGGTTGTAGGAGTAATGTTATGTTGTGTTGTAGGGTTTAGGAGTAATGTTATGTTGTGTTGCAGGATTGTAAGGGTAATGTTATGTTCTGTTGCAGGGTGTAGCTGTATTATGTTGCTGGGTGTATGAGTAATATGTTGTGTTGCAGGTTGTAGGGGTAATGTTATGCTGTGTTGCAGGGTTTAGGAGTAATATGTGTAGCAGTGTGTAGGAGTAATGTTATGTTGTGTTGCAGGGTGTAGTAATAATGTTTTGTGTTGCTGGGTGTAGAAGTAACGTGTGTTTGCAGTGTGTAGGAGTAATGTTATGTTGTGTAGCAGGGTGCAGGATTAATGTTATGTTGTGTTTCTTGCGGGGTGTAGAAGTAATACGTTGTGTTGCAGAGGTTAGGAGTAATATGTTCTGTTGTAGTGTGTAGGAGTAATATTATATTGTGTTGCAGAGTGGAGGAGTAATGTTTTGTTGTTTTGCAGGGGAGGATGAATATATGTTGTGTTGCGGGGTGTGGGAGTAATACATTGTGTTGTAGTGTGTAGGACTAATGACACGTGTTGCAGGGCAGGAGTAAAGTTTTGTTGTGTTGCAGGTAGTAATAACAACATTTGTTCCAGGGTGTAGGAGTATTGCTATGTTGTGTTGCAGCATGTGCAGGTAGTAGTAATGTTGTATTTTTTGCAGGGTGCAGGATCTCTGATATGCCTGCTCGTACTGGTCGTCTCAACCAGTGCCGAATGTAAGTATTGTATTTTCTTAACAATATTTAAAACGTTCAAGGACATTTGTGAAGTATACTGTACACATTGTCGTTATTGTGATTAAGTGTATTCACTCAGGCCTGACCTATAGCCCAGGAACTTTAGTCTAAATATCGAGGTAAACCGGAAATAATTAGAAAAAAAGGCTGAAAATTGATACGGATATAGAGTTATGTATCCAGAACAATACTGCTAAAGTTCCCACCACATCCGGCCCTGTTATTAGCCGCCACATTAGAAAAATTTAAAAGCTAAATAACTGCTAAAGTACTGTACTAGTTTTATTGCAAAATAATATTAAGTAGAAGTTGTTAAATTTTGAATACCCTTTTGAAGGAAAATAATTAAAATATACAAATTGGGGATTTTTTTTATTAACTCGTTGTCTCAACGAAGAAAATTAATATGCTTCAATAAAAGATATAGAAAAAATATTAAACTTCTAAATATGTATAGAATACTTTGGGACACAGTTCATGCCCAATCATCTGTTTACCACACGATATCAGGTCGTGCTTATGCCCGTATCCTACGAGCGCACTTTGTTACACAGTTTGCTATAAAAAAGAAGATGGCAACCATTATTTGCCATACAAAGGGTTTGAGCCGCATGTCAAAACTGTGGTTACGGTACTATGATCAAGTTTCTTTGATGAAACTCTTTGTCAGAGCTGAACGTAAAGAGCAGTGGGATTTACGCTTGTATTGTGTGCGCCAAATGCTTCCGCCTTTACACGCTGCTGGACATTTACCATATGCGAAGTCAGCACAAATCTATTTGTAGCAGATGTCTAAACTTCCTGATACAATGCCAAAGAAAGAATTTGAACAGCTTACCAAGGAATGCTTTTCACTGTATGTCGTAACAAACGATACTTGATCGGGGACATGGACAGATATGATCATAAAACAGTTTTTAATGAGAAGGATGAAATGCTCTGGAAGCCCCACTCGTGGCCGAGGTATTACGGAAATCACTTACCAGTGGATACAAGCAATGCAAGCATGTACAGTCCACGCCACTTGCAACCCACACAGACAGGCGGCCTCGAAATTCTTAACCGGTAACCTCGGTGGGTGCAACCTCTCCCCCACCCCACCTCCAGAAACACACAAACCAGGCAATTAATCGGTGGTCAGCCAAGGTATAAAGTCAACGCTTACCCCCGAACACGTTAGTATGGATAAAACTATTTTTTTGTTTCTGATAAAGTATTTAACCTGATATTGGAGTTTCAAAACAGGCCACTGCTCATTTGTACAGGATATTCCACTAATGAACGTTGACCAGAGAGGCTGACAGACACCCACCGTGCCTCGAGGCTCGCCTTCCCTCGATAATATGTCGATAAGGAGGAGGAATTTTGGGCAAAAGTGGTGTTCACCGACGAAAAAAATTTTTCGTCCAACAACCATGGCCGTATATATTCATGTGTGGCGCCGGAACAACACTTAGCATATATATAAAGTTACGTTTGTAGCCTGTAACAAGGTTAATTTTAGTGTACTGTACATGAACTTACACAATCAAATCCCGCATATCTTGCAGCAAATAACAAATCATAATTTGTCATAAAAATGAAGAATATAGCAGTGATAAGGTCTACATTAGTTTACGGAGATATGATGGGCACAATATCTATTGTATGAAGAGTAAGGGTGACTGTGTGGCGGTGGATGACAACGGCGTCGGGAATGTCACAGCGATTCAGGGAAGATTTAATGCCGAAAGGTATGTTGACATCCTTAAATATTTTTTCCTCCCCTCTCCGCGAGAGGGATTTTCCCCTTCCCTCCCGTCCCCATAATATTTGTCCAAGATCTGCATGATGGATTGGCCTTGCAAAGGGGCAGACATGAACGCAATCGAAAATCTTTGGGGTTTAATTGTGAACACCTGTGGGCCGGCGAGGAAGAGGTGTAAGGTGATAGTCCACACGGACCTTGTTCGGAACCACGCCGGGAACATGAGGTCAAGACTGCAGGCCGTGATGGAGGAGGGGGTGGGTGGGTGGGCAGGCTATTAAATAAAGGGGAGAAAATAGGTGTGTTTGTAAATATCCTCTTCCCAATGAGTGGTAGTAGGAGTAATAACCAAGGCAAAATGTCAAAGTCTGAATTGTGGTCTACTCTAAATATAGTTAACTATATACATTCCACTTGGGGATATCACTTTGTCAAGGAAAAACCGGAAGTGATGTAATCAAATGATATTGTATGAACGTAATTATAAATTATTTTGTTACACAAAGTTTCGTTCATTATGAGAAGTTCATTTGGTGTCAAAATACGGTGAAATTGGATTATTTAGAGCTATGACCACTTGCTTGTGCTCGCGTTTAGTTGTTGCTGTGAAACACACCCCGTGGAGTGGTGAGGGATGTTTGATGTAAGTGTCTATATTGGGAATTGACACAATGTTGTTATTTACGAAAACTATGCCGATGTTAGGATATGTCAATTAGATATCCTTAATAGCGTTAAAGATTGTAGAAGATAAAGGTTAAACCTCTCCAATCGTTAATATAACCTTAAGGTGCCCAACCTTACGGCCATACCAATACCAACCTTCCGGTTATGAGACTTAGCAACCATATTCGCTGTGCTTTGCCTAGCTGGGCTAGGACCTTATTCTTCCTGGTAGACCTTCTCACCAACTGTATCTTGCTGGATGAATATAACTCTGTAATGTTATATGTTAACCATATTTAAGTGAATTTGTTATCATTTCTACCCTGAAACTTATTCCTCATTAACGTTTAATTCTATTTGTGTACTGTAAGTGGCTTCATTCGTTCCCGCAAATGCTGTTCATTTTTAATTAAATAAAACCTCACAATAGAAATAATGAAACAATTTAAGTAGTTTACCCCCAAAACCAACGCCGTTTTCTAAAGCCCCCCATAAAAATTAAGACAACCTTGATTATCTAAACCACTGAACTATCAACACGTCAAGTACTGCCCAGTAAGACCCTGCCATAATTTACTACTGAAAATAATCCATCGCGTCTGTAGCGAGTTTCCGAGTGGATACGAAATCTATCACGGATGGACGGATGGACAGCATCATTACTGTACTATATATCCCCAAACTTTCGTTTCGGGAGGAATATTGAAATAAAAAATAGCATCGGTCAACAAGGAACGGCGCCCCTAATACAGTAAAACGAATGACTTTGTGTCTTCATAAAACTTAGAAAAATCGGCGTTCAATGGAAGCTTAGGAAAACGTGGCATCCCTAAAAACTACATCGAAAAATAGTTTGATGCTCTTGAAACATGAGGAGGTGGTCTACTGTAATGCTCCCGAGGTGTGAGGACTCTCCCACACATCTAAACCGGGAGGAGAGATTCAACTCACAGAAAACGTTGACCTCTGACGTTGAGCTGTGACAGTCAACACTGAAAATTTCAAGATCAAATGGTTCTCTGCCAAAAAAGACCTTAATCCTAATCGCCCCATTTAAATTAGGATCCATTGTAATTACTATATAGTTACTGGGACCTATTATTACTAAGTTCCAATCCCAATGGTTAGGTTAGGTTGTTACTAACTAGGACTGGGGCATGTTTGACGAATCAACATCCGATAGATAGGACATGACGCCTCCGAAACACGAAGCAGATTTGTTAATAGCTTGTAAAGCAAGATAATGAAACCAAGGCAGCATGGTAAGGGTCATTTTATCTGTGTAGCAAAAACTTTCCAGGAGAGATACAAATGCCTCTAAAACAGGTGAGTTTGATCACTGTACCCACTTGAATGGAAGAGGTAAGGCTCTGGCGGGAAGACGGTGGGAGGGGGAGGACTCCAATATCCTCATCAAAGACTATATAAGAAAGACGGGAAAGCAAGGCAAAAAACGCGTAAGCCACACAGCATATAGATGGGTGCGGGATCAACAGATGGCGTTAGTGTGCAAGGCACGGGTCGTCTGTTTGTTTACACGAAGACCGGGACATTTAACCATGAGTGAGTGTCACCATCACCATGGAAACATGCCACGTTGCCAACAGATGGCGTTGATTGGAGCTCTGGCTCATTTTTTTTTTATCTATAAAGGAAGACGCTTTCCCGTATTTCTTATTATAGTCTTTGATCCTCATAGACGGCGTGGGGGAAGGGGAGGTGGGGACTTCCATGTAGACAGCGACGTAACCACAGGCAACCGCAAAGACGGTGTAAGGATAAGGAGTGGGTCCAACGTCCACGTGAACGAGTGGGAGCATCACGTTGACTCATTAATGATAAGGGAGGAACACCGACGTCCTCAAAGATGGAGGGGAAAAGCATAACGTTCCTTTAATTTTTTGTGGGATACAAAGGACTCCAGACTTAGCTGATGCATAAAACGATAATCAATGAATATGATAACGTGGACATACCTGATATATGGCGTGTTACTGTCCCTCGAAGAGCTGTTTTAACTCGCACTTACCTGGGAAATGGAAAGGAAAAATTCAGTTGAGATTACTTTCCGTCTATCCCACACACAAACACATCTATATGATTATTCACCCTTAACTCCCGTAACTTACAGGAACAACTAAAGCATACCCTGTGATCTTAAGCATTAGTTTATGCCAATTGGATGACCAAGAGAACTTTTTCGATATGTCAAGAACACAACAGTAGTAGTATTTGTAGTTACCTTCTGCTGGTTGTCGCGGAAACCCTGACGCCATACAGGGTCACCTCCTGATACCATCTTGACACTTTTATGGCATTTGACGACACCTTGCTTTATTCCACGACACATTTTACACCTTGCGATAATTCAAGAGCTTTTGCAACATTAATGACACTACGACACTTTAAAGCATTAATGGTACTTTAATGAGACTACGACATCAATGACACTTTACGACAAGACTTCATAGCACCTTACGACACTTTTCGACACCGCATGACACTACTATATGTTGGTTGGACACTAAAACACTAGACTTTATGACAGTGTATGCCACTTTAGGAC